CGCTTTCTATCTCACACACACATATGATGGTATTAACAAAATTATAATTGTTATTTATAATCATTTTCATCATCATCATCTCTTTGGCTTTTCTTCCTGACCAGGCTACATTGAAAACAAACTTCCTTTAAAACTAAATTGTTAGAGGGGAGGGGGAACATTTAGAAGCTGTCCATAGGGAGCATGCACTACTCTTGGGCTTTGTTTCTGGCTCTCTGGAACTTTACAGATTGTTTTTAGGACTGCTCAAACCCAGCAGGCAAGGTTGTTCCCCTAAGTGCAAGACATTAGCTCTAAATAAAGTACATTTAAAAACCTGTATAGTTTGCCATGGAATAAAAAGGTTCATTTGGGTTCTTGTTCCTTTGTACAAGTCACACCTCTGGAAACTAAGGCAAATGAATCATGCTTTAATTTGTTCACAGAAGACCACAGCCCTCAATACCCTCTACATTCAGACACTGATTTATCCGAGTCATTGGGTATCCAGTTCCTGCATAAAGCTGGGGTGGAGAGGTGATATTTGAGAAGCTGGTAGGAGGCTGTACAGCAGTCTCTTTCTCCTTGCTTTCCTAGGTGGTCTTCTTTCTCATACAGAGTTGCCTGGCTTCATATCTACAGAACAGTCAATTCTCAAGGGACCAGTCCCATGTTAATTGTAATTCAGTAGCTCCATCCACTGAGAGATCAAGAAGTGGCAGGTGTTTGGAGACAGCCAGGCAAAATGTAAGAGCTTCTTTGGCAGCCTCACTTTCCCTCAGTCCTTTCCCCAACTATTGGTTCTCCCCTCTCTGCCCACATAAGTGTCTCAAAATAAAATCACATTACTGTGAACAAAACCCTCTTACACAATGTCTGTGCACTCCTCTAAAGTACATGAGGTGTCCAGTACAATTGCCTTTCTGCAGATGAGATGTTCAAGTTTGGCAAGGTAAAGCCTTGGATCCTGGACAAGACCTTGAGCATGACTCCAACTGTGGGTGACTTCCATACACTTCAAGAAGGCTGAGGCTGTCAGAGTCCCCCATTCTTGTCCTAGCAGCGCCATTCCACATGCTCTGTACTAAGTCCCAAATCACAATTTCCTAATGCCTCCCCTGCCCCCAAATCTTTTCATTTTTATCTTGTTGATTAAAGTTTGGCAAACCCCTCTGCCTTCAGATTTATAGTGTAGGTTATTATAATAATTTTCCAATTCAAAGTAGATGAAATTTCACTGGTAGTTAATTTACTTGGTTCCACACAACCATAGCTCTGATGTGAAGTCACACCATATATTTAATTTCGACTATCTTTTCTAGCGGAGTTTGAATCATCTCATGTCACGTCGGGGAAGACCCTCAAACGCCCAGGCTTCCTCCTCTGGGTGTTTACTGCCTCTCCTGGAAAAATTCATCCTGTAATGTGACTTGGCCTTCTTGTGCAGGCTACTTGGTGGAAGCGTAAACCTTGGCCGTTCCTGACTCCGGGCACACGGGGGCGCAAGACCGCAGCAGCTGCCGAGAAGGCGGCGAGGAGACGCTCTTGGCTTGACGACGCAGACGTGACCACATCCTGAGAGCCAACCTTCCGTTCTGGAAAGTGAGGGTCTCACGTGACCGGGCGTAGGGCCGCTGCCTAGGAAACGCTGTGCAACAGCTCCCAGAGGAGCCAGAGAGCCCCGCGGGGGCCACGCGGCGCGGGAAGGGGATGCTCCGGGACACAATGCTGTGCACCAGAAGGCTGGGCGGCCTTACAGCCCGGGCATCGGCTCTGCTGCCAGGGCGCTCGCGCCTGGGAGGCTTCGGAGCCGGGCTCCGGGCCCGACGGGTCAGCACCGGCTGGTCTCCAGTGGGTGCCGCATTCAATGTCAAGCCCCAGGGCTTGCGCCTGGACCTGTTTGGAGAGCGCCGGGTGAGCGGCCCGGGCCAGGGCTCTCCTTGTTTGCTGGGATAAGCTGGCCCTCTTCTCCGTGGGGCGTGGATGGGGACAAATCTTGCGGGGTCCGGGAGGACATGGGAAGAGAACCCACGTTATACAGGAAGTGTTTGCGCGCTTGCTGTTTGAGGGGCTGGGTTAAAGGGGGCGGGGCGGTTTTTAGTGGTCCCCTTACCTGTTTGGGTCCTAGGACCTATCTCTGTGTGAACCCCTTGCTCCACAAAAAGTTAAAATAGTTCATCTTGGAAGTGAATTCCGCCCCTCTGGTGCCATCCTCTCCTCACACTGAGCCCAGCTCCTACTAAACTCACTTTTGCTCCAACCCTACACGTGTGCCCAAGAGGCCTGGCCCTGTGAGTTCACATTAGGTGACAAGTATTCCTTTTGCAAGGACACACATGCCTTCAGTTCTGTCATTAGTAATTGCATTGATGCCTGAAATTCGATTAACTTTTTTCAAAGCTTTGGGCTCTCTTGTTGTTTTTTGTGTGTGTTTTTGGTAAAAAAAAAAAAAAAAAAAAAAAAAAAAAAAAAAAAGCTGTTGAAAATAAGTTAACTTAATATGGTGCTGTGGAGTTGTTCACTTCAGGAAATTACTGACTGAATTCTTTGGTTTCTATTAATTTCTATATCCCTGCTGCCCAGCATGGTGTCTGGCTTCAGTAGTCAATAATATTTGTTGAATGGCTGAATTAAAGGTGAATGGAAGGCAGGGTTGAAAGGGACTTACCCGATGCCTGTTCTACTTTACTTTTGTGGATTATGTCAGTTTTAGGTTTTACTTTTGCCTTTATTATTTCTTTATTATGCCATTAAGTTTTATACAAAGTGGAGTCTAGAATATTGTTGCAGTAAATTTAGTGATGTTTTTATTTTATCTCCTTAATTAGCTTTGTCCATTTTCAAATTTTTGCATGAAATTTGCCACACTAACTTCCATATAAGTAAATAAAAATGTTGATACTAACAATTGGTGTGTGGAGAACTACCTATAAGTTCTGAGCAGAAAGAAGTGAAGCGTAAGGTTGATTTGGGGTGGATGAAATTTTAGTTTTGTTTTCTTTTGTATGTCATGATTTTAAGTACTGAAACCAGATTTTCAAATTTATGAATTAGTTTTTGACTGAAAAAAAAGGTTTGTTTAGTTTTTTTGTATTATCATAACTTATAGTCTGAGATTTAGAATTCCCAAGGGTAGTATGAAGAGGTGTACACGGAAGTAGAACTAGCCTGTGCTTGACTCAGATGAAATCAGTATAAAGATAAAGTTTATATATGGTTCTGATTCTACTCTGCCTCCAACTATTTTTATTTTCTTCAAGTTCTTAGTATTGTTTGAAGAGAGATTAACAACTTAACTTGCTTTCTTACAGAAACAGTAGGCCTAACCAGGCCTGAAAGTTTTACCTCCTGGTATTTCCCAAAATCATCATATTAAGCATCTACAAAGTTAATTTACAAAGTTTAGCATGTGCTCCATTAATTTGATTTATTCCAGTTCCCTATGTTTTAGGCACTATGTTGGGCAGCTGGTTAAAATGATGAAGGGCAGGGCTCTGCCTCTAGAGCTCGACTTCGAAGGAGAGAAAACTTTCAAACAGATGAATTGCTGTACAGAAGAATGGAGAAAGTGTGGGCTTTAGAGGTGTAGGGAACCCATTCAAGTTCTGATTTTCCCAAAATTAATTAGTGACCTCAATCTTTTTCTTCACTCTTAAGTCTGTCTTCTTATCTGTAAACAGTGAGTGGTAGTTCCTGCTCTAGAATTGTGGTATTTAAGTGAGAGGCTTGTATAAAATACATAGTTCACTGTTTGGCATGAAGTAGATAAAGTAGATGTGTGCTTTCTCTCCCTCCCCCCCCCCCTGGAGTGCTAAAATAAGTGTGGTTGAACTGGTCCAAAAATAAGATTGTTCCCATTAGATTAGTGATTTTTGTCTTTATAAGACATTTAAATGCTTTTGGAAACTGTAAAATTTGCTGCAAGTTTCAGCCTATGACTTGGTTTAACATGATTATTAAGTCTTTCTGAAATATCTGTGTGGTTGGTTAATCAACTCATTGTCCCTAATTTATAATTGTAGAATAATTTGTGTTTTGTACTGGACCTCACTAGATGACAAACAGTGTTTAAAGGACTTATATATATTTTCTAGTACCTGTATGCATGCTGTGAGATATGTATTGTCATCCCCATTGTGCTTGAGAAAATTTAGGTCTAGGAGGAGAAAGAAGCTGGCCAAATCACATAGCAAGTAATGACTATAGCTAACATCTATCATATCTTATCTGTATGCCAGGTATGCTTAAAATGTTTCGTTTTTTAACATGTATTATCTCATTTGACCTTTGTAACTACTTTATTAGTTAGATTCTGTAGTAGTGACATAGCTTGATTTTTAACCCATATTTTAATTGTTATTTTTTATAAATAATTTAAAAATGAAGAAAAATTACACTCTTAAACCATGAAAGAATGTGAAAGTGATTCTGTGATCACAGATATTATAATTATATAATAGACCAACAAAACCCAAGATTTTCTTTATGAAAAATAGTATTTATACAGACCAAAAAATAATATTTTTGGTAATAAATTGGAAATACTCATTGAATTTCAGGGTCTTTTTGGAGTTCCCGAGCTCAGTGCCCCAGAAGGATTTCGTATCGCACAAGAAAACGCCTTGAGAAAGACAGATTTGCTGGTGGCGCGTGCGTGTTCCACTCCACCTGGACCACAGACTGTGCTCATCTTTGACGAGCTCTCTGATGCCTTGTGCAGGGTGGCTGACTTGGTAAGATTTGGTGTTAAGACTTGTAACTCCCTCTCTAAAATTTAAAGTTTATTAGGTTTAATATTAGACTGCAAGGTTAAAAATGTCTGAACTATTTGAGAGCTGTTATATGTAATTTGTTATAGTGAAGTATGTCATTAAGAATGGGAAAATGTGTAGGAAATTGTGATATTTAGAACTTGTAATTTAATATGTATATTTAATAAAATATAAATGTCATATGTAGTAAAAGAATGATCACTCATATGTCAAAGTTTTTTTTGTATGACCAAGATTTTTTTTTTAAATCATTTAAAAAATTTTTCAATTACAGTTGACATAGATATTATATTAATTTCAGGTGTATACCCCAGTGATTAGCTTAAGTGATCATCCTGAAAAATCTCATACCTATCTGACACCATACATAGTTATTAGAATATTATTGACTATATTCTCTATGCTATGCTTTATATCCCCATGACTACACTATAACTAATTTTTATTTGTGCTCCTTAATCCCTTCACCTTCTTCACCCATCCTCCTAATCTCCCTCCCATCTGGCAGCCATCAGAATGTTCTCTCTTTCTATGAGTCTGTTTCTGTTCTGCTTGTTTGTTTATTTTGGATTTTTAGATTCAATTGTTGATTAGGGTTTGGTGGTGATGAACTCCTTTAGCATTTTCTTGTCTTTATCTGACCTTTAATTCTAAATGATAGCTTTGCTGGGTAGAGTAATCTTGGTTATAGGTCTTTGGTTTTTATTACTTTGAATATTTCTTGTCACTCCCTCTGGCCTGCAAAGTTTCTATTGAGAAATCAGCTGACATCTTATGGGTACTCCCTTGCTGCTTTTCCCTTGCTGCCTTTAAGATTCTCTGTTTATCTTTAACCTTTTGCATTTTAATAATGATGTGTGGTGGTGTCTGCCTCTTTAGACTCATCTTGTTTGGGACTCTATGTACTTCCCGGACTTGTATGTCTATTTCTTTCACCAGGTAAGGGAAGTTTTTTGTCATTATTTTTTCAAATAGATTTTCAATTTCTTGTTCTCTCTCTTCTCCTTCCGGCACCCCATGATGCGAATGTTGGTATGCTTGAAGTTGTCCCAGAGGTTCCTTATACTATTTTCATATTTTTGGATTCTTCTTTCTTTTTGCTGTTCTGATTGGGTATTTTTTGCTTCCTCATATTCCAAATTGCTGATTTGATTCTCGGCATCCTCTACTCTACTGTTGATTCCCTGTAAATTATTCTTCATTTCAGTTTGTGTATGCTTCATTTCTGACTGGCCCTTTTTTATGTTGTGGATGTGTTCACTAAGTTCCTTGAAGTTCTCACTAAGGACTAAGTCCTTAAAGTTCTCAAAGCTCCTTGAAGTTCTCAGTAAGTTCCTTGAGCCTCCTTATAAACATTGTTTTGAACTCTGTATCTGGTAATTTGCTTGCTTCCATTTCATTTCATTCTTTTTCTGGAGTTGTTTTCTGTTTTGTTCATTTGCGACATGTTTCTTTGTCTTGGCATTTTGGCTGCTTCCCTGTGTTTGGTTCTATGTATTAAGTAGAGCTGCTATGTCCTCTGGACTTGGTAGAGTGCCCAGTGGCTCAGCTTCCCAGTCACTTGAGCTGGGCACTCCAGGTGTACCCCTACGTAGGCTATATACACTGTCCTGTTGTAGTTGAGCCTTGATTGTTGGAAGGGATTGACATCCAGACCAGTCGGCTGTAGCTACAGTGGAAAAGCTGATGTGCATGAGCTGACCCTATGGAGCAGGACTTGCTTCATTGGGACTTTGTGTCATTCACGGAGGTGGTAGCGTTGTAATCTGACGTAGTCTGAAGCTGACTACCGGGTGCACTGGCTCTGGGGCCTCCTGGGAGGTGCAAAGTCAGCTACTTCGTGTGCCCTGCCTGGGGGCATCCGACACAAGCTACAGTGATCTGCAGATGTTTGCTATTTGTGTTGGGCTTGAAGGTTCCCAGGAGAGGTCAAGCTGTGAACCAGTCATATGTAAAAGCCATTGGACACAGCTTGGGTGGGCCTGCAAATTGGGTGGGATGAGGTCTCAGGGAATCACCAGGGTTGGGCAAACAGTATGAGCCAGGTTAATGGAGTCTTAGGTATGGTGCCTGCCTGTGGGCTCTGTGTGGGGGGAGAACTCAGCAAAGGAACAATGGCCTCTTCTAGAACTTTTGTTTGGGAGAAAGCTGCCCCACCAGCTGTTGTCCTGATGCCAGACAACTTAGTTCCTCCCTATATGTCCCTGGTTCCTTTCAAGCTGCTGCCCCAATGCTGGAGTTCAGAGTGAGTGAGTTCGAGTAAGTCTGTGCACAGGCTCTTTTATAGGACTGACTGGGATTCCAGCAGCCTCCGTCTTTCTCAGCCAGAAACCCTGCTGGTTTTTACAGCCTGAAGATATGGGGACTTCTCTTCCAGACACTGGATATCTGGGCTGAAGGGTCTGGTGTGGGGCTGGGACCCCTAGTCCTCAGAGGGAACCTCTGCAGCTAAGATATCCCTCCCAATTAAAAAACTGCCACACGTGTTTGGGACCAGCCCATTCCATGCCTTCACCCTTCTTACCAGTCTTGATGTGGCTTCTTTAATTCCCTAGTTGTAGGACTTCCACTCAGCCAGATTTTAGGCGGTTCTGAATGATGTTTGTTCTGTAGTTTAGTTGTAATTTTGATGAGGTTGTAGGAGGAGGCAAGTACCACATTTATCTATGTCGCCATCTTCCATGACCAAGATTCTTTCTTTATGAAAACTACCAAAATTCTAATAAAAATTTATGTTTGTTTACAATAAAATTAATCTTATAAAAACCAGTTTTTATAAACCTTTTAGGGAATGCATTTTGTAATTAAAAGTAAGGTTTTAACTTCAAACTGATTATATTAAAAATGCTTGTTTCTTAATATTTTGAAGTTGAAATAGAAGTGTACCTAGGTTTCTTCAAACACAAAACCCATTGCTAAGGCAGAAGGCATGATTTTGTCAGCCCAAGAGAATCACGTCTTGATTAGTCATATCAATGAAGGTGACTGTAGTGGTGTACATGATGCAAGATCGTGATCACTCATGCTGCTGTCTACTTGGTATTGGACTGTATATCGTTCTTTCTTCACATTCATTTAACATTGAGCCCCCACCATGTGCCGTGCCAGGCTCTGTAATAGGCACTAGGAATACAGTCCTGATTATGACAGACCCTATTGGGTCTGTCTTATAATGCTTCTGACCTCATGAAGCATTATAGTGTTAACTTGTTTTTAAATCTCACTAAGCACCAGGCTGTGATAACCACTTTACCTGGATTAATAGATTGAACCTTCTCACCATATCTAATTTTCAGATGAGGAAAGAAAGGCACTAAGAGGTTAAATGATATGTCCAAGGTCAACTAGCCAGTAAGGAGAAGTTGGGCTTTGAGTCCAGGTAGTCTGGTTGCAGAGCTCATGTTCTTACCTGCTGTTCTGTACACTCCTGGGGGCTGGCTGGCTGCTTAGATCTGATGAAACCTTACCCGGAGAGGTTGGAAAGTTGGTTAGCCTTCCCATCATTTAAAAGAGTATTTATTTATTTATTGTAAAAATTATCATATAGTAAAATTGACTTCTTGGGGGGAGGGTGGTACGGTTCTATGAATTTAACTCATTTTTCATGTAGCTACCACCACAGAGTATGAAAATATTCTATTACTCCAAAAAGCTCCCTTTAATAATTACACCACTACCCCCACCTCTTACCCCTAGGCAACTACTGTTCTACATATTTATATTTTGTCTTTTCTAAAATGTCAGGTAATTGGAATCATATATGCCTTTTTTTAAAAAAATATATTTTATTGATTTTTTACAGAGAGGAAGGGAGAGAGATAGAGAGTTAGAAACATCAATGAGAGAGAAACATCGATCAGCTGCCTCCTGCACATCTCCTACTGGGGATGTGCCCGCAACCCAGGTACCTGCCCTTGACCGGAATTGAACCTGGGACCTTTCAGTCTGCAGGCCGACGCTCTACCCACCGAGCCAAACCGGTTTCGGCCATATATGCCTTTTGAGGTTGACTTCTTTCACCTAATTTAAAGCCTCTTCATTTTTTTCTCCTGAAATGTTTTATTTTCCCATACAACTAAATTGAGCAGTAACACCTTTCAGATCATCATACAATCACAGTAAATGTCCTAGTTCTAAGGAAGTTGATAAAATATTTTGAAGGGTTTTTTTTTTGTTTTTTGTTTTTTTTTCAAGAGTGAAGTGAGATACGTTGTGGGCCCCTGGTTGTCAGGTCTCAGTTTTAATGGATCTTGGTTCTTTCTGTTCCTTTAGTAAGTGTATGCTAGTGCTTTGAATGATGTAAATTATATGAGATGTATTGCCAAAAAGGAGGTCTCCCTTCCCTGCTGAATTATATCACTGAAATCTGAAAAACAAAATGTCAGTGATTTTCACTATGTGTAATTGACTAGTGGCTTTTTATGTAAAAAATCCCAGGACTCACTGTTTATTTGTTGTCTTAGCCTCCATCTTAATTAAGCAGTGTTCTAGGACTTTTTCCACCTTTTTGCTTTTGCTCCTTTGTTAAAAGATTTTAACTTCTCTGCCCCATAGCTTGTCCTATTTGTGAAGAGTTTTATATTTATGAAGTCTAATATCACATTAAAAACTAATATATGTCTTTGGGGAAAAAAATTTCAAAGAACCTTCTTTCTTTTTGAACTTTTAAGATTTTACCTGTCAGTAAATTTAATACCGTTATAAGACAATGATTTTAAAAACTGTATTTTCTACCAAGTTGTCATTTTGCTTTACTTTTCTTTTTTAATACCCTTGCTGTGTAACAGAATTGTTTCTCTCATCGCTGCTACAAATGAGTATGCTAGTGTTTTAAGTTTTAATATCAATTATAAATTCTGCAACATGTAAATTGACAATTTATACAATATATTGTTAATTTTACATAGCTCAGTTTTCAGGTGCTTTAATACTGTTATTATTTCATCAAAAGTTGTATGTAACTATGGATTTAAATGTTTTTTGTTAAAAAGTATTTGATAATAAAATTAGGAAATTTTACTTGTGATCTTATTTTGTTATACGTCATACATGTCTTCTTGGAGGATAAAGGAAAAATAGTGTAGCATTTTGTTTTTTCCTGCTTTTTTTTTGCAATGTACTGCAGTTAACATGAAAAGTAAAATCTAGTTTTACCTGATTTCATATTAAAATATGAATTCTAGCTCAGTTTGATTCTAAGGTCAATATAGCAGCCTCTCAGCAGTGGTAGCTGTGTGCCCTTTAGATTAGGACTAGGAATTCATACTTACTATAAGGGCTATAAAGAAAGAATATGCCTTTGTTTTCTGCACAAAGGCTAGAATGTAGTTAAATCAGTTTTGAAACTGTAGTATGTGTCAATTAAAAAAGAAAAAAGAAAAGTCTCTAAGAGTTGTTCCCTGAATCCAGGTTAACATGTGAGAACCATATTGTAGATGAGTTTAATTAGAAAGTCTTAGAATATGTGAACAAGAATCTGCTTGTTTGAATTGTAGAATTAGGAAGAATTCACTTGGTATATATTTACATTAGAAGGAGAAAGATTTTTCTAAAAGAAAGTTAGTAAAAATAGTAAAATCTTCGGGCTGAAACAAACTTGGTTCCAAGGAATAACAGAATAATGTTCAGAAAGAAGCTGCTTTGCCCTCCCTACTAGTTAGGAAAATTTCAGTAATGGAAATGCATAGGTCAAGCCAAATGGCACATTTAAAACTAGGTTTTTCATTTCCCCCTTAGATCTTGGAAGAAAGCTTCCCATCAAATTCCCTTTTTGTTTTGTCTTTTCTCTTCATTAGGCTGATTTTGTGAAAATTGCTCACCCTGAGCCAGCATTCAGAGAGGCAGCAGAAGAAGCTTGTAGAAGTATTGGTACCGTGGTAGAAAAGTATGTTTTCTTCCCCCTTCGTTACAGTATTGGGTGACATAGTTTTGTGGATTTGTGCTCTAGGAAATGTATACGTGGGGCTTGTTCCTCCCCAGCAGGGTGGGGGATAGTATGTGTGAATATTGCACAGCTGCCCAGGGTGATGGGCAATGGGGAGGGCCCAGGGGGCAGGCAGCAGCTCTCATCTTCCCTGCACAAGCAGTGTGACTTTAGGCTAGTTATTTGTCATTTAGTTTCCTTGTCTGTAAATGGGGTAATAAAATGATTTGCCTCTGAGGGTTGTGATGAAAATAAAATAATACAAGTGCTCATAAAGATGTCAGAAACATGGCAAACCTCCAATATCCTTATTATCATTGGTTATATTAAGTCAGTTTTTTTTAGTATCTCAGTAGTAAGTTGGAGTTTAGACTGTCATGTAATTAAACTCTTGTTGTGTTGATGGCTCTGGACCACAGGGCAAGAAGCCAACATTATCTCTACACAGTGGCCTTGCAGTCCCTGTGGATTTGGAATTAGACACATCTAGAGAGATGATAAAACTATCTGGGAGGGCTGAGGCAGGCTGAGACTATGATGAAGTGACTTATTTAAAAGTTATTTTGAGGTAAATTTAAATATTGTAAGCCATCTCCAAGAGTTCCAAGTGGCTTGTTAAAATAACTTGGAGGTGGACAGTGCCATATTAAAAAACACTTAGGTGCATGATGCCATTCCAGAAAGCCAGAAAGCGTCTAAAGCAGCCGTGGGCAAACTACGGCCCGTGGGCCGGATCCGGCCCGTTTGAAATGAATAAAACTAAAAAAAAAAGACCGTACCCTTTTATGTAATGATGTTTACTTTGAATTTATATTAGTTCACACAAACACTCCATCCATGCTTTTGTTCCGGCCCTCCGGTCCAGTTTAAGAACCCATTGTGGCCCTCGAGTCAAAAAGTTTGCCCACCCCTGGTCTAAAGCTACTGAGAGCACTGTGCTCACCTGGCATGAATTCACAACCAAATAATCAGGGCCAGTCAGCACGGGAAGACTTTCACAAATCAGAATCTGGATGAGGAGGAGGGCGAGTGTGGAGGTGAGTTCTCCAGTTCAACAAGGCTTCCTGGAGGACCTGATGCTACAGGATGTGCTGCTGCTGCTTTCCCCACTGAGCATTGTGGGATCTCTTTGGGACAAGACATGTCATTTTTGTTATTGCCATTGAAAATCAAATTGTTGAATGGGATACATCTGGGCCCTGCAAATTCCAGACACTGAACATGAAGAAGGGGCTGAAATTGGGGTCTCCTTGGGAGAGAGTATAGCCTAGGGAAAGGCCCCAAGATATGAGTCAGAGCCAAAGCCTGGGTTGCCTGCCTAAAGTGCCCTGATTCTGTCTGGTGTAATGGGCTCTTATTTGTCTGGGAGGACAACAGGGAACCCTATTGGTTGTGAAGTGTTATCAAGAGTGTCTGTCCAAAGTCTTCACTTCCACTGGACATTGTTTCAGTCTTTTGTCATTCATGACATTCCTCTGCTGCCCTGAGACCAGCCCAGGAACCCAAAAGTAAAGTCACCAACCAACTCATAGCCTTCACTAGACCTTGATTTTTTTTATTCTCACTGAGTGCTGTGGCTCATTTTCTCTTTTGGTCTACCTGAGTCATATCTTAACTAACTGCTTCAGTTAATCTGTGAAAAATACAATGATTTTAGGTGCATGTGTAGAATTGACTTATTTTTCAGTAGTGGAATAAAAGCCTATAAGTAGGTGTGTTTGTTTAGAATTAATGCCGGATATAGACTAAAGTATAGATATTATATGAGGATCTTATGACTTAAGACACATGTGGGAGATTTGCTCAAACTTCTGAAGAAGGTACAATGCAGGCTACCGCTAAGCTGCTGCCCTTTTGACATGGACTAGCTCCTTAGGTGTGCAAGCTTAGAGGAGATGGAGAACCAACCACGGTTTTCTCCTGGTTTCTTGGGGTGAGTGACTGGGGTGGGAGAGGAGGTGATGTGTCTGCCCTTGTTGAGTGTTTTTTGATTGGAGGTGACTAATTCAGTTCCCTTGGCGTTCAGGGTAGCACATGAGAATGGTGCAACAGAAATCCTTTGATTTATTAAAAACTGCAGGATTTTTATTGTGATCTGACTGGAGAACCTGACCATCCAAGAGTCTGTGAGTAGGAATTGGCATATGGTTTTTATAACCTGGCCCTTCCCTGAGGAACAATAGGCAGGGGGCACATTGTGTCTAGAACCAGCTCACTATTTAGCAGAGTATTAGGGCTTCTTGGCATCCAGGGAAGAAGGACTCAAGACCTGAAGGTGGTACTGTGGGGTTGGGTTGAGAGCAGTACTCAGGTAGGGGGCGGCCAAGGGCAGGCTGACAGGCTACCTAACAATATCTAGGGTTCGTTAGTATGGGGAGTGTGTGCTGTACACACATTAATCTCATTTAACCCTTAGGGGTGACCTGAGGTCTAAGTAGCTGAAGGGTTCAAATAACTTGGCCAAGGTCACAGCATAGTACTAGGGCCTATGCTGCAGCCTGAGTGTGTGGCTCTGAAGCCTGTGGCTTTGAGTTCTCATAATGTGGGCCTGTCATTCTCATCCAGATGAGCAAAGGTAGCCAGTCCAGTGTCTAGAGTACTCAGTTCAGAACTACAAAATTTTTTTGTTTGTTCGTGCTCCCTTCCATTCTTACTCCTCTCCTGACTCCAGAACAAATGGCTGTTGCATATTGCTAATGGACTGGTTCTCAATGGTAGTGGGGTCAAATCACCGGTAACCACATTCCTTCCCTCCCCTCTTTCCTCTCTGCTCTCCGGGCTCCAGCTGCTGACTGACTTTAAATTTATCCTTTTACCATCCAAAACAGTTTGTATTTTAACACTTCGCCCAACTGACTGCTTGTCAATACATTAAATATGGTTATGCTATTCCTAGTCCAGATGAAGAAACAAAACAATCTTCAATCTTTTGGCCTCTGACATTAGAATCTGACATCCTTCTCTTGATGTAAAATAAAAAGTAGGTTTTAGAAAATCATTTAATTTTTTTATTTGTAATTTTTATAGGTTGAACACAAATGTGGAATTATATCAAAGCCTGCAAAAATTACTAGCTGATAAAAAACTCGTGGATTCCCTTGATCCAGAAACCAGGTACTCATTTCCCTTGCATTTATGATTGTGACTGTAGAGGCTAGACTAGAAGACTCCTCCTGGGTATCTCTCTACTCACACCCCCTGGTGTCTGGAGTGTTTCTCCACAGGTATCGCTACATGATTCCTGCACTTTCTTTAAGACTCTACTCAAATGGTATCTCCTCTAAGAACTTTGTATGAGATCATATGCTTAATCCTCCTTGTTTTTCTTCTTAGTCCTAATCACTTCCAACATTAACTTATTTGTTAATTTGTTTATCATTTTTCTACCTCACTATTCTGGAAGTTCCTTGAGAATAGGAATCTGGTTTGTTTTATTCACTGCTGCAAACTTGGCACCTACAACACTCATGCCCTATAGTATGTGTCTAAAGAATTAATGAATACCTATAAACTATTGATAATTACAATTAGCTTCATGCTTAAAGTTCCATAATTGATATCACCAGAAGATATTAACAAATTGATTGTATTTACTGGGTGGATGTCAAAACCCTTGCAATGATTTGCTGTGGTTCACTAGATTTTATTTGTTAATCTGAATTGAAAAGGCCTAATTTCTAAGTGAATACATAAAAATATTTGATATTGGACTTTGGATATCATATTTCTTTGCTCAAATTCATTTACTATAAAATAGGTGTTGTAGGGTTTGTCATTAACCCACCTAGGTATTTTTTGTGTCATAGCACAGATATTAACATTTTTTTTTACCTGTTTGTACTTATCTACTTTTTGTTTATGGGACACTTTCTTTCTTTGACTCCTTGATTTCTCCCTCCTCCTGCTTCCTTCTCTCCTTTCTGTCTCCACATGTGGCTTGTGACTTAAAGTGAAGCCCTACCCAACAGGGATCAGTTGATAATGGGAACTTGTGTTAATTTGGTATGTGAGTAGCATGATGTATGAGTAGCATAATAAGGCTGTGTTGGGGGATGCTTTTACCTGATTGTCTGATATGCAGATGTTTATTTGGTCCTACTGCACATTGATCCAATGCTCAGTGTACTAGTAAAGCTAGCTATACCATCAGAATAGTTTGTCTTTATTATAACTGTATTGTATTTAGCATTATATTGCCTTATTAGCAAAACAAGTAAAAGTTAAATGACTGCTAATTTTGCCAGATTTATTCTCAGCTGGTACTGACAACAGCAGGTTATTCATAATATGACTTTAATTTTCTTCTAAAAATTATTTATTGATTTTAGAGACATGGGAAGGGAGGGAGGGAATGAGAGAGAGAGACAGAGAGAGAGAGGGAGAAAGAGAGAGAGAGAGAGAGAGAGAGAGAGAGAGAGAGAGAGAGAAATAGAAGTTTGTTGTTCCATTTATTTATGCATTCACTGATTGATTCTTGTATGTGCCCTGACCAGGGATTCCACAACCTTGGTGTATTGTGATGACACTCTAACCAACTGAGCTACCCAGAGAGGTCCATTATTTAACTTTAATAAAAATTGACTTTTCCATATTTTAGTGGTTAAAAGTTGTGACTAGCATACCATTTTAGATACAAAATATTTGTGTTAATAGGATACATACCACATTTCTGGATGTTACTAAAAATTCCAGTAGGATCTTTTAACCAAAACAGCCTGGTACTGGCACAAGAATAGGCCTATAGGTCAATGGAACAGAACAGAGACCCCAGAAAGTGACTGACATCATCCTGGTCAACTAATATTTGACAAAGGAGATAAGAACATACAATGAGGTAAAGACAGTCTCAAATGATATTGGGAAAACTGGGCAGGTACTTGAAAAAAAGTGAAGCTAGATCACCAACTTAACCATATACAAGAATAAACTCAAAACTTAGAAGAAAACATAGGCAGGAAAATCTCAGACATGTCATGTAGCAGAATTTTCACTGATACATCTCTTAGGGCAAGAGAAACAAAGGAGAAAATAAACACATGGAACTAAAAAGCTTTTACACAGCAAAAGAAACCATCAAAATGAAAAAGGAACCCACTGAATGGGAGAACATATTTGCCAATGACACCTCTAAAAGGGGGTTAATTTCCAAAATATATAAAGAATTCTTATAGCTCAGCAAAAGGATGACAAGTAACCCAATTAAAAAATGGGCACAGGACCTGAATAAGCACTTCTCCAAAGAGGACATACAGATGGCCAATAGACATATGAAAAAATGCTCAATGTCACTAATCACCACAGAGATGCAAATTAAAACTACAATGAGGTATCACTTCACACGTGCCAGAATGGCTACCATCAATAAATCAAACATTAAGTGCTGGCAAGGATGTGGAAAAAAGGGAATGCTAGTATATTTCTGGTAGGAATGCAGATTGGTGCAGCCACTATGAAAAACAGTATGGAATTTACTAAAAAAAAAATTAAAATGGAACTAATGTTTGACTAATGTCCCACCTCTAGGAATATATCCTAAAAAACAACAAAACACCAATCAGAAAGAATATATCCTCCACCCCCCCCCCCGCCCCCCCATGTTCAAAGCAGCGTTTACAATAGCTAACTAAGATCTGGAAACAGCCCAAGTGCTGTCAGTAGATGAGTGGATAAAAAAGATGTGGTACGTTGGCATACACAATGGAATACTATGCAACCATAAAAAAGAAGGGTTTCTTATCTTTTGTGACAGTATGAATTGCCCTGGAGAATATTATGCTGAGTAAAATAAGCCAGTCAAAGAAAGACAAATATCAAATGATCTCATTTATAAGTGGAATCTAATAAATGAAATAAACTGATTAACAAAATATGTCCAGAGGCATGGAGTCATGGAACAGACTGACATATATCAGGGGAGGCGTGGGGGGAAACAAGAAGAGATTAACCAAAGAACTTATATACATATTAGAGGCCCGGTGCACAAATTCGTGCACTAGTGGGGTCCCTTGGCCTGGCCTGTGGGATCGAGCTGATACTGGCTCTCCGACATCCCCTGAGGGGTCCTGGATTGCGAGAGGGCACAGGCCAGGCCGAAGGACCCCACTGGTGCATTATCAGGGCCGGGGAGGGACGTGGGAGGTTGGCCAGCCAGGGAGAGACCGCAGGAGAGCTCCAGGGTGTGTCCGGCGCGTCTCACTCAGTCCCGATCGGCTGGACCCCAGCAGCAAGCTCACCTACCAGTCAGAGCGTCTGCTCCTTGGTGGTCAGTACACATCACAGCTACTGGTCGTCCAGTCGACCGGTCGACAGTCTGTCCCCTGGTGGTCAGTGCACATCATAGCGAGTGGTTGAGCAGCCTTAGCATATCATTAGCATATTATGCTTTGATTGGTTGAAGGAACGACTGGACACTTAGCATATTAGGCTTTTATTATATAGGATTAGAGGCCCGGTGCACAAAATTCGTGCACTGGGGGGGGGGGGTGTCCCTCAGCCCAGCCGCACCCTCTCCAATCTGGGACCCCTCGGGGGATGTCTGACTGCCAGTTTAGGCCCGATTCCTGTGGGATCAGGCCTAAACTGGCCTTTGGACATCTCTCTCACAATCCCGCACTGCTGGTTCCCAACTGCTCACCTGCCTGCCTGATTGCCCCTAACCGCTTCTGCCTGCCAGCCTGATCACCTCCTAACCACTTCCCTGCCAGCCTGATTGATGCCTAACTGCTCCCCTGCCGGCCATCTTGTGACCACATGGGGATGGCCATTTTGTGCAAGGGCGTGGCAGTCAATTTGCATATTACCTCTGTATTATATAGGATGTGCATGACCAATGGACATAAACAAAAGTGTGGTGAAAGCCTTGGGTGGGGCAGGGCATGGGAGAAGGGAGTAACGGGGGGACATCTATAATACTGTCAATAATAATTTTAAAAATTCCAGTAGGGTTTTTAAAATAACAAAATGATAAATGTATTAGGAAAAATAAACTGGGTAGGATATTGCTGTTCTAGAAAGAAAAGATAACTTTTAAGCGGGAGGAAACAAGAATTTGAATAATTACTGAAACTCAGAGCACTTGTACATCCTCAAAAGTATTGGCTAGCACTTAGAAGGAACCTTTTATATAGTAAAGTCTAAGGCAATGGCTAAACAAAGAATTATAGATTTAATAAAATATCTTGTCATAGCAAGTTACTGTATAGAAGAAATAATTTAAATTGAGTAGGTCACCATCTTATTCTTAGATGTATTCTTTGAAATACTAGTATTATTCAGAAGTATTTCCAGAAAAGCCCCATTGATCAGTAAATTTGGAAATCTGACATACTGTATTTTCCCTCTTGGAGAAGTCTACCCAAAGAAACCTATTTTACTAGGGGTTTTCCAAAACCATGAAGATCTTTGTTGTATGTAAAGACTATAACAAATGCATTCTCCAGAAAATATAATGGAGGGAAGATACCATTCACAAGAGCAACAAAAGTTGCAATGCACCTTGGAATACTCAGGAAAGCAGAGTACAGAGCCTCAACACACACACATACCTGGGAAACATGAAAGATGATCGAGAAATTCACTATATTTTTAGATAAGAAGAAAGCAAGCTCAAAAATGTTCTCTATTGGTCTGTAAGTTTAATGCTATTCAATTTATATCTAAGGGAGATGTTTTTGTTGCTACTTAAAATGATTTTGAAGTCATAGATCATAAATATGCCAGAATAGGCAGAAAAAAATCTGGTAAAATACAAAAAGAGAACTTGTATCAGATAAGATATATTATTAAAAATACTAGAGGGGGTCCCTCAGCCTGGCCTATGCCCTCTCGCAATCCGAGTCCCTTCGGGGGATGTCGGATAGCTGGTTTTGGCCTAATCCCTGCAGGCCTGATCCAGACAGGAGGGAGCCCGATCCTGTGGGTTGAGCGTCTGTCCCCTGGTGGTCAGTGCGCAGCATAGCGACCAGTCGACTGGTCTTTCAGTCACTTAGGCTTTTATATATATACTAGGGGCCCAGTGCACGAATTTGTGCACCTTGAAAGGAACTATGGGCAGCGAGGCTATGGTAGGCACAGGGTCAGGTCTAGGCCCATCCTCTGTACCCTGCCTGGCCCCT